TTTTTCCCACTAGTATATAAAATTCTTAGGGGCATGGACTGCTTTTCCTTTGGTTATATTTGCATGCCACCCCCCTTGGCAATGTGCCTGGCACATAGTAAGTGCTTAATAAATGCTTGTTGATGTGACTTGAGTTAAATTTGTCTGTGAAGGGGAAAAGAAATACATGATTATGTCTTTAGAGGATAGCACATATTGGGAAGGTTTTTAAAGGATGGCAACACTTGGAGATGTTTGAAAATAATAGGAAGAAATTGAAAATTAGAGAAAATGGAGATTATTGAGTGAGAAATCTGCCAGAGAAGATGGAAGGAGATGGGATCAAGGAGAGATGTAAAAAAATTGGATTTGCAAAACAGACAGTCACCTCTTCATCAGAAACTAAAAGAAAAGGGGAGAGAGTGGAGCAGAAGAGAAAAGGGGAAGAGGAAGCTCACAGAAAAATAGTTTTATTTTTCTCAGTAGAACAATGTTTCTTAATCTTTTTCTTGCATAGATACCTTTGGCAATTAGGTAAAACTTATACATCCTTTCTTAGGACAAAAATTTTAAATGCATAAGATAAAATTCTTAAGAATACAAAATAATCCAATATGTTGAAATATAACTACATATATTTTAAGTTCACAGACCCAAGTTAAGAAATCCTGAACTAAAGAATGAGGAGATGGGGGGGGAATGAATGAGGGAAACTTGAGGAGAGAAGAGAAAAGGAGGCTTGATATAGTTTTTGTGGGGAATGGGATAGGTAATGAATTAAGGAAGAATAAAATTTGTAATGTACCCACTTGGATTGGTTTTATGACTTCCTCCAGCTCCATCCAGCAGCATATGAGAAGGAAGGGAGGAGACACATAGAGGATGTAATCCAGAGTTGGATTTTTGGCAATGGATATATACTGATGGGGTTAGGGATAGGTGCAGAGTGGTAATGAGGCAAAGGGTTGGACAGCAGAGGATGATGTAGAAATGAAATTACTAGTAACATAGTTGAGACTGGAAAAGGAGGAAAATAAAGTCAGAGCAAGGTTAATTCTGATGTTTGTATGCTCATTGTTTCACATATAATAACACCTGAAAGATCAAATTTAACTTCTAGAAGAGTTGCCTGTTACAACCATAGGCCCACACTTTCTCTAAAAGGACTAACCTTGGTTCTTGGGGTCCTAATTGTTTTAGTTAAAACTTCAGAGCAACACTTGAGTTACTATCTCATACTTAGCCAATCAAAAGTTCAAGTACTATGGTCTGTTCCACAGCCAACAGCTGTACCTCTAATCTTAGTATGCATTTGGTCATTAGTTTCTAGGATCACAGATTTAAAGCTAGAAGGGCTCTTAGAGATTATCTAATCCGAGCCTCATTAGATAGATGAAGAACATGAGACCCAGAAAAGTGACTTGCCCAGAATCACCTGGGTACTAAGTAGCAAAACTAGAATTTAAAGCCAGGTCCTCTGATGCCAAATAAGCTATACAGCTGACTCAGGACAGTGTGGATGGATAAGCAGAGAGCAATCATCAGTACTAGACAAACAATTCAAAGCCAGGATCTCCTGTTAGTGGGTCAGCAGTGTTACTAACACATGTGAAAGGAGAACACATCGTATTTTAAGTGGAGCATTATGTAGGTAAGACCATTTCCCAGCTTTCTCTCTAAATGAGTTTGCTGATTGGTTACAAAGCTCCCATTGATTTATAATGAGTTTGATGCTTAGATGAACATCACTAAATCCTGCACAGGACACAAAATAAGATGAACTGAGAATTGCTACAGCTACAGCCATCTGGAAGAGATCAAACTTGTACTATTTTTGAGCTGTCCAAATATACATTCTCTTTGACTACAAGGAAAAAATGAAATACAGAGTGGCTCTCATAGTGTCACTGCAGACAAGCTAAGTATCTATGCCCACAAATCTATGAACAATTCAAGGGGAAATGTAAATTAGGAGTTGCCTCTGCCCACAGAGACTAGATAGAATGAAGCTACATTAGGAAGACTTTCTTGTCCTCAAAACAAGCAAAAGCAGTATCGGTGAATTTATATTTGGGAAGTATGATAGTCTTAGCTAGCATAAAGTGTTTATTAGTCCCATCTGCACTTCTCTGTCATCTAGATTAAAATTCACTTTTTGGGGGGTGATGGGGAGAGGCAGAATAAGGAAAGGAGAAGAGAAATGATGTGAAACTATTAACCCTGACACGCTCCGTGGATCACTACACTATTTTCTTTCAATATAAAAATATCTGTTAAACCCTAGGAACAAACAAAAATGACTGCTAAGAAAGTCACGTGTTATTCAACATCAGCTATGCACTTGGCTATGAAGTCAGCACTGCAATTGTCTTTGAAATTTGTCCTATTTTGGAATGAGTCTCTAAGAAATCATTTACAATAACTCCAGAATATTATATAACCTTCCCAACTGAGGTCTACAATCCTTATTTAACATTTTATACAAAAAACAAAACTAAAGTCAATTGTGGTGGTATAGAGGATTAGGAGTCAGAGAAACTGCATTTAGCTCTTCTGCTTACTAGGCAGGTAGGTAGATGGCTGAATGGCATGCCAGGCCTGAAGTCAGGAAAATCTGAATTCAAATCCAGCCTCAGACACTTAATAGCTGTGTGTCTGCCTCAGCTGTCTCATCTATTTTGTTGTTGTTCAGACATTTTCAGTGGTGTCCAACTCTCCTTGACCCTGCTTCGGGGTTTTCTTGTCAGAGATACTGGAATGGTTTGCCATTTCCTTCTCCAGCTCATTTTACAGATGAAGAAACTGAGGCAAACAGGGTTAAGTGACTTGCCCAGGGTCACATAGCTAACAAATTTCTGAGGCCAGATTTGAACTCAGGAAGATGAGTCTTTCTGACTTCAGGCCTAGCACACTATCCACTGTGCCACCTAGCTACCTTTCTCAACTATAGAATGAGGATAATAGCACTTATCTTCCAGGACTGTTGGGAGACTGAAATAAGATCATATATGTATAGATAATGGATAGCATATCTATAATAATAAATATGTATACAATATATAATACACACATCTAAGCATAGATAATATAGGCCATTCTCTGCCTCATTTCTTATTAAGCCTTAATCCCTAATTGGGCATTGACTAAATCAAACTCAGACCTGTTAAAGACTTTAGCTTGAAAAGGCCAATGTCCCCACTGCATCTTGGGTCATCACCAATTGTCCTGATTTATATCTGGCCATTGGACCTAGATGGCTCCAAAGGAAAAAGTGAGGCTGCTGACTTTGCACAGCCCTCCTTCACTTAAATCCAATTCACTTGCATGCCGTGGAATTACCTGCCTGATGTCATGGTCTTCGACAAACAATAATATGTATAATGTGTAACTTTAAAGTGTTAAATAAATGCTAGCTATTACAATTTTTTTATAGTTAGTAGTATTGGGTGAGATGTTTGGCAACTCACTTAAGTTCTTTAGGCCTGTTTCCTCATTCATAAAATGAGAGAATTGAACTAGATGACCTTAATGTTCTAAACCTAGATATTATGAGCCTAAAATAAAGCCATAAATATTGATTTTTATATTTTATATTTAAAATACAAGCATGAAAAAATTACATAGTGATAGGAAAGAATCTGTATTTTATCTTGCATAAAAATAGTTCTTAATATAGCAATCCATTTTCTATTAACAAATTGGCATTTTTTCAAGATGAATAATAACCAAAATACTTCAAAGCTAATGCCATAATCTATAAATATATGAACATCTGATAACAATCCTAAAATATTAACATTGAAGAGACAGTCAATTGAATTCTTTACTAATGTGAAACTTACAATCAGAATGAGTATTTTAATGTCCAGAAGGTATATGGATATATGGATATTTGTTCATGTATAGGAAGGCAAGGACTTATTGATTCCAACTCATCTATAGCCATAGTATGCTTGGAAGGGAATAAGCATTTGTAGGCTTGAGAGTAAAATGATGAAATCTAGTCATGGGCTTCATCACACAAAACAAAGCAGATAATCCCATACTAATATCTGAGATGTTGATCCTTCAAGCAGGTTAAATAATCCTGTCCAAAGCTTCCTGGGAACATCTTTATTTTTTTAGATAATATTCCTTGTGCAGTCTCAACTTTGTTATTAGAAGTAATCTACTTACTTCTGATCCCACTGATCATGATAAAAAACAAGAATTGGAATTGTTCTTAGCCACAGGTCACTTTGAGCAAATGCCCAATTAGAAAGTAAACTTGATTTTTAATATTTTTTGGAGAGAGACATAAGGGTATAATAGACAGGATACTGTGCTACAGTATTGAGTCAGGAAGACCTAGAGGCACCTATGACAGTTTTTAGCTGTTGACCATGGACAAGTCATTTAATTTCTATGAAACTCAAGTTTCCTCATCTGTAAATTTGGGATAATAATATATGTGATAATTATTTTGAGATTCAAACAAGTTAATGTCCATAAAGAACTTCTAAATTTTAAATCATAGGAAGGCACAGAGCATGAACTAGGTATGCCAGATGTGTTTGAATTGCTACATAGATTCCAATTATTATTATGCAATGCCTAAATGGGCAACAAACCATATAAAGAAAAAGAAGTATTTCCACTTATTGATTTGTAGAATAAAATGATGAACTGAATGTGTATATTACTCCCAATGGTTTGCATAGAGTATGGGTTGGACATGCCAATGATTACCATCCAACTTGTTTGAAAATATTTGGCTTTTTTAGCATTTGTTTTCTTTGTAGAAATTTGGATAACTAGACATTTAAAACCTTTCCTTCAGGATTCACTTTGCCAATATTCTAGCAAATCTCTATCCTTCGTCACCAATTCTTATTTCTTCTTCTCTTTCTGATCACAAATACCAAGCCCAAAGTTGGTGCTTTCAAAAAACCTTCAATCCATAGCCCATTTCAGCTGTCACTTCCCAATGGCAGTGATTTGCATGAAAAAAGAGTTTATTTAATTTCTTTATTTCTTTTAAGGTAAAACAGGTTCAAAACTTCTGTCATTCATGTGAGGAATACAAGCTGCCAGCCCTTTAAACAGCAGGTAAGGCGTTGGAGGTTGGAATTAATTAGCATTTAGAAAACCTACACACTATATGATACCTCTGCAAGGACGTGTTTGTCCTTCTTTGAAATGAATACATACCTCTTAAAATTAAGGAGCACAACAGGCATTATGTAAAGACATTTACAAAAGGCTTTTTGGAATTGGGGGAAGGGGAACATATTGCTCTTTCTAAGAAATTCTGTGTGAAGTTCATTGAAGCAGTGAGTTAACAAATATCTTGACCAATTTTCCTAAAAAAACTTTTTCTTTGTATTCATGGACATACAAACTAATTTCATGTCTAAATACATGTGCTATTCAATCTTTAAGCACATAAATGTCTCCACAGTTAATTTTCAAAAATGGCTATCCTATAATTTAATCTCTAAAGTATCCTGAGATGGAGACTATTTTCCAAAAGGAGTGTCTTCCTCATCCTGGAATTCTTTTTGAGTTTTTTTTTTCCCTTCATGAAGGTCTCAGGGGTACTTGAGGGCATACTCTAATATATGTAAAAAGCCAGGTCTTTACTATCCCATACCTCAGCACAACATCAAAGTCTTAATAACCTGATATAAAAAGCCCTTTTAAGTCATATATGGTATTTAATTTATATGATGAACATATTTTAAAAGAATAAAAATGATTGATGCCAGATTTTTATTGACATGGTAATAAGTGGCCATCTATCTACATCCAAGAGTAAGGTGGTAGGGAGTGGGAAGTATCACATTATTATTGTGGCCTACAAAGAGAAGAGACAGTGATGCTAATTTAAAAAGCACATTATTATTGCCTGAAAGCAAAGTCTAAATGCTACAACTGAATTGTGTCAGTACCCAAATTTTGGAAAAGGTTTACAACATCAATGGCAATTACCTATGTTTGTACAATAAGACTTCACTTTTATGCCCAGAAAGTTACAATGGACAACCAGAGAAACAATGAGGCAGAAAGCTGCTATCTACAGAAACTCCCACCAAGGCCCTGGCTGGTCCTACCACTAAAGCTTCTATTTCTCTTACAGCACTTCTCATATCATCATTTGTGTGCTTGCTTAATCTTCCTGACTAGATTGATAGTAAGCTCCTTAACAGAAGGGATTGTGTTTTACTCAACTCCATAAACATCTGCCTCACCCCTCACAGTGACTATGATAGGGCCTTTGGCAAAATCAGACATATAACTGGCCCAAATCATACACGGGACAAATTAAAATCATGGGGTGAAAGAATGGGGGCACAGAGAACAGCCCCACTTTAAGGATGCTATTAAAAACAGGGTGGAGGTATGTCAGTCTCCCTAGAACCCCACCCTGGTAAGACAACAGAATATGTGGTTACTGGTCACTTGGTGGAGGATTGTGTACCACCAGTACACCTTATGTCAGCATCCCAACACCAAGTCCTGTTAGCTATATCTTAGTCATAGCTCTGCATATAATGGGCACTCAAGAAATAATTTTTTTTGAAGGAATGGCTGAATAGAACAATAATTCTGTGTAGGTTCTTCTAACTCAGTCCCTGTGGTTTGGGAAATGGAGTGAGAGAGACCTCTCCTTGACCACATGCAGATAGAAAAACATTAACCATTGATTCTAGAACTGAAAAGAGGAGGGTGCTATTAGAGTGTAGGAAAGTTCTCCCAGGAACATAGATTCTCTGTCTTTCCTGCCAGAGGCTTGATAATCTTTTAGGCTCTAGGCTATTCTCTCTTTGGTTCTCTAGAGGGCTTCTAGTGAGTCAATAAATAAATATTATTAAATACCTACTGTGTCCCAGGTACTGTGCTAAGCATTAAAGATACAAAAGGAGGCAGAAGAGTCCCTGTCCTCAAGGAGCTTACAATCTAACGGAAGAGACAGCAAACAATTTTGTGCAAACAATCTATTACAGGGTAAATAGGAAATAAAAAGAAGGCATAAACTTCAGAGTGATTTGAAAAGGCTTTGTGTAGAAGATGGGGTTTTAGTTGAGACTTGAAGGAAGTCAGAAGGCAGAGTTGAGAAAGGAGAAGATTACAGGGAGGGGAGAGAGCCAAAGAAAATGCCCAGAGCCAAGAGATGGAGTATCTTGCTCCTGAAACAGCCAGGAGAGTAAGAAGACAGGAAAGGTAGCGTAGGGGGAGGGGTTAGGTTATGAAACGTTTAAATGCCAAGAAAGAATCTGCATTAGATCCTAGAGGTGATAGGCAGCTACTAGCATTTATTGGGTAAGGAGAGGTGTCACACCACCTTCAGGATAATCCCTTTGTCCAGGGAAGGAAGGATAAACAGAAATGGGGAGAGACTTGAGGAAGGCAAACACACCAGCAGGAGAGCCTACACTAGTGTGATAGCAATATCAGAGTAGAGAAAAAGAAATGTTCAACAGATGTTGTATGGTGAGACTACCAATACCGGGCAACAGCTTAGATATGGGGGTGGGGGGAGTGAGAGATAGTAAGGAGTCCAAGATGGCTCCTAGGTTGGAAGCTTAAGAGTGTGGAAGGATGATGTTGCCTTTGACAGTAACAGGAAAGTTGTGGGGGCCTAGGGCTTAGGCAGGGTTTAGGAAGAAAGTTAAGTTCAATTCTGGACATGTTGGAAAAGATAGCACTTACTAAAACAAGAGGTTGACTTGGAAACACTAGAGGCACTTAATAAATACTAATGGATTTACTTAGCCATGTCAATCAAAGTGAAAAATTCACTGAAAAATGATAGGGTAAAGAAACAGATAAGGGACACAGAGTTTAACTTTTCTCAGTTCTGCCAGTGCGCTTATGAACAGCAAGGTGGGGCTTAGAGAATAGAGTGTGATACTTTATATGAGGGAGACCTGAGTTCAAATCTTGCCTCAAATACTTATTAACTGCATGAACACGGGCAAGTCATTTAACCTCTTCAAGCCTCATTCTTCTCATCTGTAACACAGAGATAAAGATAGTGCCTATCTCACATGGTTGTTGAGTGGATCAAATAAGATATACAAAATAGTTTGCAACCTTACAATGCTATATACATGGTATCATTATCATCACCATCATCATCACCAGTCTTCATTCATTAATATCCAAACTTCTCCCATTCCCTTAATATTTAACCATATCTGCAGATATTTCCACCAGAGCAGTCACAAAGTATATTTCAGCTCCGAAAGACTATATGAATGAGGGATTGGAATGAATGGGCAAAGAATAGATTTATCACTAAGTTTTTATTTATTTATTCTATTTTTTTCTCATGCTTCCACTTAACCAAGGTCTGCTACCACATCTTACTGTAGAGGTGACCCTGGTTCCTCCAGACTGTTCTAGCAGGAAACAAACTAGAATGGTATCAAGAATAGGTTTAACAACATCTGTATGTCTGTACATTGGGATGATGTTTTTCAACAATGTTTCAACAACCTGTTGTGCAAAGCACTAAGAATGCACAGCCCAAAATGAAACAATCTCTGTCCTCAAGAAGATTCCATTTTTTTAGCAGAAACACAGAAATTGATTGTGATTCATAATATGAAATTAGCCCAAGTAATTAAGACAAATTCAACTGAAATGAAGAGAGAATTGGGCGCTCTTGTGGCTAAGGGGATAGAATTTTAGAATTGGAAAACAGCTCAGAAGACAACTAATCCAATCTATGGGATTTGGGGTCCCATGCACAGAAAAGGTTCAGCATGGTGGGAGGGAAGGGAGTGTTGGGATTTTTTACTTGTGCTTTGAGCAGTATTTCTGCTTAATGAATTAAAATTGAAGATAGGTTGGTTGGCCTAGTAATGAAGGAAGACGGGAGGAGTGCTGGGAAGAAGAAGATTGTGAACCTCTTTCTTAGATGGAGAGGAGGGGAAGGAATGTCCTAAACTCTTCTGCCTTCACAGCAGACTGGGGATATACCTCCTCTTCCTCATTACATGGCCAGGCCAATATTTGAGCTCCCACTCCCCTGCCAGTTTCTAACTCTGCTAAAGAAATGTGTATGTTAAAATTTCATGTCTAAATATTCTGCCCAAAGTCAAAGTTCTTGTGGCTATAGGCTAGTTAGAGTTATGAGTACAGGCTTAAATTAATATTTCCACTATCTTTGGATTTCATTTAACCAGTCTCTCGCTGTCCTTGCTTGAAGAAACAGTCAAGAGTAGATTTTACAAAGAGCTGACGGCACAAGTTTTGAAATAACACTCTAATCATATCCAGAACGACCAAAACAGGGGCAGTAGAGGCTGTGAATTCTCAGGTAAAGGTTCATTTTTTTTTCCAAAGGGAAACATGAGGATACCAATTTTGATACTTTTCCATGCAACCTGGAGAAAAGACAGTATTAGATTAGGAGAGAGTTTTACTGAGAAAATGAGTCTGCCTATTATGCTAATCTTTATTTTTCAAAACCCAGTAATAAGTTTTATTCATCTAAAAAGGAAAAAAAAATCACTCAGGCATTGTATTTTGATTTAGCTAGAAATTGCATTTGTATCATTTTCAATTTTTCTTCCACAATTCTATCTGGCATTTAATCTCCAGTTACAAATGATTCTTCAGGCTTAACAATTTTGCAGCCTTAGGACATTGAGGAAAAGGGTGTAAGTATGATATCCCTAAGTAGACATGAGGAAGCTGTGCAGTGGGGGTGGGGTAGGGTAATGGTGGGGAGGGAGAATAAATACTTGAGATCACAAATTGGAAAAAATGAGATCTATTAAAATTTTTATTGTTATAATGATAATGATTTTTATTTTGACTAGGCCTCTGATTTCACAGCTGTAGGGTATTGCCAATAAAGAAACTCCCTTCACTATATAGCAAACTTATGCAGACCTATATTCAAAGTTGGATAGGGCATGTGTGTATAGTATATATATATATATATATATATGTGTGTGTGTGTGTGTGTGTGTGTGTGTGTGTGTGTATACATATATATAGAGAGAGAGAGAGAGATTATCTATCTATATAGAGAGAGACACAGAGAAATTATTATTTGGGTTATATACGTATGTGTGTATTTTCATAAACCATCTCTCTCTAAATACACACGTATGTGTATATATAGTGATTTATAAGTGTATACATGTATATCTATATAATAGATATGCTACATGTGTGTATACATATGTGTATAGAGATTTATAATATATACACGTTTATATATTTTATAGATTGGTATATAATATATGTATATATATATATAGTAGATATATATAATAGGTGTGCATGTATACAGGTATATATACATGTATACACATGTGCATACATATATAGATACATATCTATACATACCTACCTATTCCAGACTTTTTATTTAATCACAGTAGAAGGAATTATAGTGTAGCAAGTCTCTCCACAGATGTAGATGAGCAACTTATTTGTACTTTACAGTCTTAGAGCAATCAGGCCACTGAGAGGTTCTCTGGTTTGCCCAGTCAAACAGTAAGTGACAAGTCCTGAACACAATTCTTCCTTGCTCCGAGGTCAGTTCTCCATCTGCTGAGCCACCATGCTACAGAAGCATATATCTAGGTGAATGACCACCTAGTAAATCTATAGCCTAACTGGGACCAGTATAGTCATCTTTGATCTGCAGCACTGTTCTTAGCCTGCTGAGCCAAATTGTTCTTCACACTATCCAAGAGTTAAATAGACAGTGATTCCTAACTCCATTTTCATTCCTTTCACACCAAGCCTACCCACAATGAATTCACAGTTCTCCCCATTAGGGTGGCCCATGAATCTAAAACAGTCAACTTAAGGAATTGTTTTTTCACTACAATAGAATAAATTTTAGTATAGTCTTTCTTGTCTAGCTATAGATTCCATATTCTGCATTTACTAGAAGAGATTTAAATGTATATCAGGTTGTAACTCTGTACTAAAAGAGTGAATTTTGTTATACTAAAACTTTGGAAAACTGAGTTCTAGAAATTTGGGGCAACAGAATATAGTAGAAAGCAAACTAGACTTGGAGAAGGAGACAGCAGAGTCCAAGTCCTAGATCTGAAATTTGTTGACTGTGTGTTTCTGGGCAAATTATTTAATTTTTATACTTCCAGTTTCCTCTTCTGTAAAACAGGGTATATAATACTTGTTATGAGGATCATGTAATTATAGAGGTAGAGTTGGAAGGGGCCTTCTACCTAATCCTTGTTGTTGTTGTTGTTCAGTTGTATCCATTTCTCTGTGACTTCATTTGGGTTTTCTTGGCAAAGATAACTGAAGTGGTTTGCCATTTCTTTCTCCAGTTTATTTTACAGATGAGGAAACTAAGGTAAACAGGGTTAAGTGACTTGCCCAGGGTCATACAGCTAGTAAGTATCTGAGGCCAGATTTGAACTTAGGAAGATAAGTCTTCCTGACTCAAGGCCCAGCACTCTCGACATTGTGCCACCTAGCTGCCCGTATACCCAATCCAATAATCTTATATTACAAAGGAGGAGATGTCACACTTAAGGTCAGACAGTAGTAAACAGGTGAGACATGATTTGCCCCCAGGTCATTTGACTTCAAGTCCAATAGTTTTCCCAGTAACTTATGGTGTCATAATAATCATACATATGCATGCATATAAATATGCCCATAAATACATACATATGACTTTGTATTATGTTATATGTGTTATGTATGTGTCAAAATATAAGAAGAGAAATTGTGAAAAACGTACTTGATTTCCAAAAGTTTTACTTCCTCTCTGTCATTTCCACTGGAAGTAACGTAAGATTTTGACCTATCCCGTAATGGTATTTTCCTTATTTAGGCATTATGGAATTTATGGGGGGTGGGAAAGAAATTTTCAAACTACCCATTGATCTTTCCCATCCCCCCCCTTTTTAAAAATAGCTATACATGGCAAATAGAAGAAACAGCAAGCTGGAAAACACTGCCTCACAGTGTCTTGTCTCAGAGATAAGAGGGATGGAAGTGTTAACCAATAGCGTGGCTTGTCTCTAATTTTGGTTTCTGGGGGCATTCCATCCTGCCTCTAATCCTACTCCATCCATCCCTCTGTTGTAGAGGTAAATAACTTGCAAAGATCACCATACAACCTGGTGCTTCACAGATAGTGATAGAACCTTTCCCACTTTTGAAAAATCTGCTTTAGATATTTTTTCAATTAACCTGACCTTGAGGTAGAAAACAAGGTTCCCCAAACCACAAAGAGAAGGCCTCTCAATTCACAAGGCCTTCATTCTAGGGAATGAAGAAGGATAATAAATATCATCCTCATTGTAAAGACTACACTGTTTTGTTTTGCTCTCACCTCTTTGATCCCTGATCACTTTTTTTTTTGGATGCTATGAATAAGAGCCTGGATTAAAAGCAACATTTTGCAGCATTCTATAAGAGCATGGAGCCACAGTGGTATCAAGCTGTCATGATGGAGGGCATGGGTGAATGAGGCACTACAGGAGAATCCTAAACTAGGAATTGTGAACCTATGATTAGAAAAGGTTTACTGAAGTCACAGCAGCCCCATAGCCTGCTTTACAGGGAGCCATGTAGGTTAGGCCTGCCTCATTCATTCTGACATCTCCTATCAGGGGAAAAATACTGCTATTCTTTACTATAAAAATGACTAGCTATGCTCAGTTGATGGACACCGTATATCTAATGGCCTTTTTAATTGGCACTATGATGATTAATTGATGCCTTCAGAAAACTCTAGGAACTCTCATTACTGAACAGCATGGGGGCCAAGCAGATTCTGTAAGTGACCATTCTTACTAAATAGTCATCATACCATATAATATTCTAAAGATAAATTGTCTATTATACCAGGTCTTTCAGAAGCTGATGAGCAGTCTTGGGATAATATTAACAATAATTAGAATTTATATAGTACTTTTAAGGTTGAAAAAAAATCACGTTATCCCATTTCTAAAAACAACTCTGGGAGATAGGTACAATTACTATCACCATTTTATAGATGAAGAAACTGAGGAACAGGGAGATTAAATGACTTGCCGAGGGATACACTATCTGAGGTAGGATCTGAACTCAGCTTTTCCTGAGTCCAAGTCCAGTACTCAATGCACTGTGACACCTAGCTGACAGTAAGATAGTTCTATGTTTTTAAATGTAGCTTATTTATTTGGGATTAATTCCACTGTAACATCACATTGGAAATGGCTAAAAGAATAACTAGAAAACCTCAACTTAACTTATTAGTTGAGTATACAATCCAAATTATTTAGCTGAATTGGAAGTGAGTTCAAAATGTAAGAGGAAAGGAAGAAACCTTTCACTGCAGGGTAAAAAGTGTACCAATTTGACCAGCTTCAACAAAAACATAACAAGCAGGCATGCATCCAAACAGCCTTCTATAAGATAATAGGAAAAGAACCAAGAAAAGGGGGCATAGTGGAAAACCCTAAGTAAAGAGGGAGAAGAAAAAAGAAAAACAGATGAGAATAATAATATATGAACTTCACAATATATATATTTGAAGATTTCTTTCCCCTTTTTCCAGCTTTTTATGGGGTTTTTACATGTGTTTCAAATAAGAAGAAAGGTAGTATAAAATATGGTTGATAGAACTTTAGGCAGTTGATAGAACTTTATTTGTTCTGTCTGGACAACAGGATTTCCAGATGTTGGCACCCACTAAAACACAATAAAAATGCTTTTTCCATAGAAAAATAAACCAATTAAAAGTCATCTTTTTTTTTAGTTTCTTATGTAGGTGCTAATATTCAAAGATAGTATAGTTATTTTTATTAGTAGCATTATACAATTCATTGATATTCTTTCGTGGATTTTGTATATTGTGATATACACAAAAGATCTCTGTTCAGTATTGCCACACGATGGCATAATGGAAGGAGCATTGACTAGCTATAGAATCAACCTGATTAAAATCGCATCTCTCGTGCTAATAATTCTGTGACCTTGGACAAGCCATTTATCCTTTTCCTTATCTATAAAATAAGATTAGACTAGATAGCTCAGAAAGTCCCTTCTGGACTTTGGGTCCATGATGTTTACCCTGTTTACTGTCAAAATTCTCATGATACCAGAATCTGCCATCTTTTAACCTTATTATACTTAACTCTCTTCCTTGTGGAATTTAAAATCAAAGAGCTTTCTGTCAGGGAGAAGCCCTGGTAACAGTCTAGTCCAGGAGTGAGAGCCTGCAGCCTGGAGGCCACATGCGACCCTCTAGGTCCTCAAATGCAGCTCTTGACTGAATCTAAACTTCACAGAAGAAATCCACTTAACAAAAGGATTTGTTCTGA